GCAGAAGAGGCAGACACAGCAGTGGCTGAAGCAGAAGGCCCAGATCCTGGAGATCCTGAGGAACCGCCGTGGCCACAAGTAGCCCCCCTGGGGGACCCAGGCCATTAACCCTTTAGCTCACAGCTGGAGTGGCCATGCCTGGTGCAGCTTCCCCGGTACTGGAGCCCCTCTCAGACTCAAATGCTGGAGCCCTCAGCCCGGGCTTCCCCGGGGTCACCTCAGCCATGCCAGTGCTGCGTGGGACAGAGCTCTGTGTCCGGCCATTGGAAGGGGAATCCGCGCTGGGAACGTCTGTGGAGCTCCCAAAGGGAACTGTTTTGGAGGGACAGGGGGGCGCTCGCCCTTGCTGGGTCTCTATTTATTCAGGTATTTATTCCTGCCTTGGCCGTGGGTGCTGTCCACGGTACGTCACTCAGCACCTTCCTTCTGCCTGGCTGAGACCTCGCAAACTCACCCCACCTGCAGCCAGGAAGCACATTTTGAATTGGTTTCTACCTCAGCCCCCCCGCAAGCCTCCCCCCTGGAGCTGGGTCTCACATCATTCATTGGCGTGCTGGGCAGCAGAGGACTGACAGGCCACGGCCAGGGCTGGGAGGGGCAGGCAGGACGCGGCCCCGCCGTTGCGGAGAGAAATCTGAGGGCCGAGGGAGGGCCCTGCGGCTAATGCCCCCCGGGGCTGTGGGCCAGGCCTTGCGGCATGTGAGCCCAGCACTGTCTGGTCTCGGTGCTACACTGGCAGCCAGGCAGCGCCCAATAGCAGATAGGAAGCCAGCTTCCCCCCGCTGGTTTAGGCCGCGCCTGTGGCTGCCCATGCAGCAAAGGAGGGACTGCGGGAAATAATTTAAGGTCTATTTAAAGCAAAGCCGCCTCTTGCCGGGCGAGTCCCTGCTGGCACGGCTGCGCCCGGTTTGCACCTGTTGTGTTTTTCTATTAATTATTGTTCTTATTTTTTGTAATAAAAACCTGCCAAATTTATTTATAAAACACACTTGTCACCTGGTTACTGGACGAACGGGAGCCACGTGCCGCCCTGCCACAACACCCCAATAGCACCCAGCACGCTGGAGCCGGGCCGGAGCAGCCCCACCTCTGCCCCACCCTTACCACTCCCCCTGCTGGGAGAGGCCAGGGCGGGGAGCCCCCCGCCCCCCTTTCCC